TATGACCCGTGACCCATGCTGCAGAGGAAGGCAAAAAAAAAAACAAAAAAAAAACCATAGGGTCTCAGTCAGTCTGACCTGGGAGAAAATTCCTTCCTGACCCCAAATATGGCAGTCAGTTAGACCCTGAGCCTCATTTAATGCACAGGAAGGACCCGCTTTGGGGGATGAATCAGGACTGTATAATCAAGCAGGTGGTCGTTTCCACAGGACTCCTACTTCATTTCTAGCAGACATTGCAAGGAGTGTAGTGAACAAGGCAGGGGACTGCAAGAAAAGAAAGTATGTTCTTATGGATAAGGCAGCTGAATGCTGCCCTGGAAAATCAGATTGTGTACTTGTCTTCCTATGTGATACTGGTCAAGTCACTTAAACAAAACTTTTCATAGATGGTCACTAATTCTGTGTTCTGGACACCTGCCTTGAGATCCTGGGATCTGAATGCCCAGAGCTCCAACTGAAGTCAATGAAAGCTGTGCTTTGAACATATAAACTACTACATAATGCTGAAAAATCAGGTCCTAGGTGTTTCATATTGGGCACCCAAAATTAGTAGATACTTTTGACATTAATCTCTGTGTTCCAAAATTCTCCATGTATAAAATAGGGATGGTAATAGCTCCTCATCTCATAGAGCTGTTGTGAAAAAAGAAAAATGTTTCTGAAGCACATGGATACTATAGTGATGAAGAAATACCCCTGAGGAAATTAATAATTCTTTCTTAAGAGCACGGTTTCAATAGTGCCATAAATAAGGCATGGGGCCACACTGAACAATGAGGAGAAAACAAAATATTGAATAGCTTACTTATTGAATGAGCACAGTCCTTTGTGTATGCTGAATGAGGCATGGGTTGTGTGGAACGAAAATTGTTCTGTGGTCATGTAATTAAATACTCTATCATAATCCCTATGCACAAGGGGGATGAATTAAGGTTGCACATCCAATTTTTTCCCCTGATTTCTCCCCCTCCCCCCCAGGAGTGGAGTAACCCGTTCTCTACACTCTCATATCTGCAAAGTCCCAAATGTAGTAATACTCTGTTAATTTCATTCCACTTCACACCTACAATACTTTACTGCTGAAATGGAGAAACAAATACAAAATCCTTCGGTAGTTTTAGAATTTTTTTTTCTCTTTCGATTTTTTTTTTCAACATTAACTCTGGATTATCTGTTTAAACTGCAGCTGCTCCAGTCCATAACATTTTGTGCATTTTTTTTCTTGTTTCACCTATCCCCACTGCCTGCCTTTTGCTAACTTCAAATGCTGTTATTTGCACTTGTAGGCCCAATGTAATGGCAGTAATCATAGTGGTTAAAAACCTTACTATACTGAAAGAGAAAACATAAGCTACAGACCATTCTTCCAGAAACTAGACACTGTACAAAAATCCTTTAGACCCACTATATACATTTGTAAGATGGTTGGCAACATAGTAACAACGTGTTGCATTCCCCATTAGTCTAGTTTTGGACTCCGATTGCAGAAAAGCAAGCAAGTGTGATACTTAAGAATGTTCTCTATGCACTGTTGTTTTTACATTCTTCTAAACAGCTCAGCACAGAATGGAGGTGAACATGCTGTTTGGAATGTAAAATCAGGTCCAAACACACAAGATTCATACATAATGCTGAAGATTTAGCAGAATTAAGTTTAATCAAGCTGCTTAGTCTACACAGTCAATTCAGTAAAGGCAACCTAGGAAGAAAATGCACTGCTTCTCAACCGTATAGCGCTTGCCTGGGGAAATCTGCAAACAAAGCAGAAAAATGCAGCACTGTAAGAGAAGTAAAATCAGACAGTCAGAACATTTACCTTTTATCTGAAAATGATTCATGATACATCCCCATGATGTGTCAGAAAATTGCAAAGCAGTTCATCTATTATTGATGACCCAGCATTGCCATAGCCATCTGAGTACTACTAAAGTAAATTTACCTTTGACTTTATTAGTTTCTGTATTGAGAGAACAGGGACATCACATGTTTTGCAATGCTAAGAAAACACAGTATCTTTTAGTTACACTATTGTAGCAGAATCTTGTTCAGACATAGCTACTATATAATTTCTGTCTTTCTAAAAGCTAGAAAGCAATCATTAGCATGTTGGACCTGGCAAGCTCATATTAGCTATATGGTAATTATAGAAACCAGCAAAGTAAAAACCCTCAAACTTTTGCATTTGATATATGCCTGATCAAAATACTGTCACCCTCAAATAAATGAACAACTCTTTCCCACAAAATAATATGCAAAAGAGACATACTTCACAACTGTAAAATGCAAGACATTAATTATTTACAAGACTATTATATTTTACATGTACACAAATGATATGAATATAACATTTAATGTTTCATTCAAGGTCAAGTTAATCTAACTTACATGGTATTAACACTATTTGAATGACAGAGAATTTGCCTTTTTTTTTTTAATTTGTATCTTGAATGTCACCTAACAATATATTAGTTATATGACAGAAGGCCCAAAATGTGCCAGGAGCTTTCTAAATACACATGAAAAGACAACCCTACCCTCAAGAGCTTACAATATAAAAGGACAAAAATGGATGAGAAGCAGAGGATATGGATATGTACACACACAAAGTGATCAGGGTGACAAGTGCGTGTCTTGTTAGTTCCATCTTTTAATTTACTTATTTTTTATTAACAAGCAAAGGAGAGGTGAGGAGGGAACGGCAGGAGGAGGTTAATAGGAGCAAGGGAGAAGAGAAAAGGAAGGGGAAGAAGATTACTGAGGGTGATGGAAGGTGGGGGGAAGAATGGAAAGAAAGATGAACAGCAGGTAAGAAGGGTAGGAGGAGGTTTGGACAAAACCAATCTGCACAAAGTGTTCAGCATCTCCTGGGGCCCAAAGGCTATGAAGGGAGCAGCAATATCTGGCTACACATTTATCTCACTGCAGCTGCTTTGTGCTCCCCAGGGCTAATTCTGCCTCTAGGAAATCCTGTTCTACTTCTCCCAGCCCATATTTGATGGAGATTCTTGGGCCTGGTTCTACTCCTTCCTTTCCACTAGTGTCAGGGTCAAGGGAATGGATCACGGGGAGCAAGTGGGGGCTTAGTTGGTTCTCACCCCTGCCTTGCTACTGCACTTTGTCCCAAGATGGCAAAGAGGGGAAGAATTTCAAAGGAACTATAGTTTGTGAGGCAAGTGAATTGCAGCTAAACAAGACAGCAAAACTACTAGTGTCCAAAGATCCATTTTCAGCGGTATTTGTGGTAAGAAACTACTCTGGTATTGGACTGAAGGGTTTGAGGAGCATTTCTACTTTGACAGATGTCATCATTCACGATACTTCCTGACCCTGGTGACTGGTATCTTATTCAGTCAGATTTGGCTGCAATCTCTTTTACATCTTTCATGGATTTTCTTGTTACTATTCCAACACAAGACTTGATACATAAGGACACCAGGAATGGTTGGTGGGTGGGTAGGTGTGTGTGAGAGTGAGGCACCTATTGAACTCAAAAAGGGTAATTACAAAAAGATTAGAAATTAATTTCAAAATTGTCATTATAGTATTCAAAAGTTGCCTTACCTCCTTAGGGTTTAAATGCAGCTCTTGCTGTAGTGTGCTCACATTTACTTCATAAGCCTCCGGATGTGGAGCATCATCTCTCTCTAATTTGCACACTAATTCCCAATCCCAAATAGACAAATGGGAATTTTGAGTGCACAGGAAGATAACAACTGGGCTCCTCCCGGGATATTCAAAGTGAAATGTGAATATGCTTCAAGGGTCAGACTGTCAAGTAGTGTAGCTCTATTGATTTCAGTGGTGCTGCGCTGATTTACACCAGCTGAGGATATGGCCCTATGACTCTAATTTGCATCACTACAGGCTTCCCGTCCTGCTCCCAATTTAAGTCAAATGCAAAACTCCCATATACATGGGAGCATAATCCATTCCAGTATGAGATTTTACATGGGTAATCTCCATTAATAATACTAATATACCCTCTCCCTATAAACAGACCAGTAGAAGAATACAGCCATTTGTAAGCAACATCCTGTCTCATAAGACCCTTTATGCTTCAGCTTTTCTCTAAATTCGTCCTGAAAAAAGAGGCCTTAAAATAGTAAAGTAAGGATGTAAAGACTGCCATAAAAGTGACCCCTAAAAACTAAACACACACAGTGTTTAGTTTAGTGCTAATTTTTAAAAAATAAATAGACTCAATGACTGAGTTAGACAGTAAACCAAATCTAGGGGATTGTACATATGTTATAACAATATGCTCTGGAGCTTTGACTTGAACACATTTACATGCAAAAATCACTTTCTGCAAATGTCTCTTATCCACTAGTGAAGGCCAGAGAAGAGAACAGAACCAGTAGAGTGTACAGAGATTCATGAAGCATGTCAGCTGGGAAATTTAAGGTAAATCATACTGTTCAGTTATACAAGACACATAACCTGGGGAGAAAGTGTGTAGAATCAAAGTAATAAATAATTTATAAATAATACAATCATCTCATGAAATATCCAAGAGGCTAACCCCCCATTTTTTCCGCTATTCTTTTCCACTCACTCAAGTCAGAGAAAACCTGAAGACACAAACCTATCAGGAGCCAACAGGTTTTTGGCAAGTATGGATTTATACAATAAAATTAGTTATAGGCTTAGAGACAGGACTGCATGGTCTAATCACGCTAGGACTGATGCACCTATGTCTGTGGAAGGAGGGGAGCAAAAGTCAAAGGAATTGGGCCTGGATATGCCCAGGATAGAAGCAGCTCTGCCGTATGCTCCCACCCAGGGCTGGGTTACCCAATAGGCAGACTAAGCACGTGCTTAGGGCACCAGCAAAGCCAGGGGCACCAAAAAAAGATTTTTTGGGGAAAAAATTTGGTATTTGATATTTCAAAAAAAGCATTGAAGTAGTCATCATGGGGAAAATCAGAACTTTGTTAGACTTCCTTACACTCCACTACACACTCTTCTCCCGTTTTTCTGTTCTCTTTTTAAACCAGGAGGGCGTCCTACTAACGTAGATCGAAATAATGCGAGGAAATCAGAAACTGTAATTGATCATCCTACTCCTCGTGGTAAAATAGACATTGTTCTAGAAGGTGTGGATGTGTCAGAGACTGAACCTGCCCATGCTGTAAATAATAGGAGAAAAGATCCTGGTATGTGGGTTGATTTCAGTACCGATGATGTAGCTTACTGGATAGATCGTGGACCAAATGACTGTCAACACCACACTGGGCCATTTGAGAAATCACGTCAGACTTTTACCAATGGCAAACAAACAAGATATTGTCCACAAAAAAATATTTTTCGGCATGAAAGCGAATGGTGAGAAATACACTCGAGAATGGATACTGTATTCACCATTAACAGGGTCTGTGTACTGTTTTGTTTGCAAACTTTTTGCATATAAACTTTCAACATCCCGGTTTGCTGCAGATGTATTTAGTGACTGGTGGAATACTGTTTTAATTGAACAACATGAAAATAGCACTACTCACAGAGATTCAATGTTGACATATTTAAATCAAAGACAGGGCTTTGGATTGACACAAAAATTGGAAGATCAAATTAAAGGGGAGCGTGAATACTGGCAACATGTCTTGCAGCGTGTTATATCTGTTATTCAAACATTAGCTGAACGTGGTCTGCCTTTCCGGGGATCAAATGACACATTTGGATCATTGCAGAATGGAAATTTCTTGGGATTGTTGGAGCTTGTGGCTCAGTTTGACCCATTTTTAGCAGGCCATATCTCAAAATATGGGAATACTGGCAAAGGTAACCCATCATACTTATCCAAGACAATATGTGATGAACTCATTGGTCTAATGAGTGACAAAGTTCGTTCAGCTATTGTGGATGAAATAAGTACTGCTGGGTACTTCAGTTTATCTGTTGACTCTACACCTGATCTTTCACATATTGATCAATTGAGTATTGTACTAAGATATGTCTCCCCCACAGATGGAAAACCAGTTGAACGATTTATAACATTCCTCAATTTGAAAAGCCACACTGGTGAAGAAATGGCAAATCAAGTACTGCATTTTCTGTGCCAAGTTTGCAAAATAGATTTCTCAAAGTGCAGAGGTCAATCTTATGACAACGCTGCCAACATGTCAGGGCGTTATCAAGGAATGCAGAAGAAGCTTTTAGAACAGAACAAATATGCCATATTCATACCATGTGCTGCACACTCTCTCAATCTTGTTGGCCGCAGTGCTGTTGATTGTTGTCCGGTGGCAGTAAGGTTTTTCTCAACAGTCCAGTTGCTTTATACATTTTTCTCTGCCTCAACACACCGATGGGCAGTTCTTAAAACATATTTGGGCAATGATCATGTGTTGAAATCTCTTTCTAATACTCGCTGGGAGGCACATGCAGTGGCAACAAGTGCAATTCTGGAGTCCTACTCAAAGATTGTGGATGCATTAGAAAGTATAGCTGAAGACCAACCACAAAAGGGAGAAACTATACAAGAGGCAGAAAACATAACAAACAAGATGCAAGAACTAGAGTTTGTATTCATGTTGACCATGTGGAATTGGATTTGAAAACATGTGCAGACCTCTGTCAATCATTAGCAGATCACTTACACACTTTGAGGAATGATTTTGAAAGATTTGAAGACATAGCAAAAGATATCTTGCCTGATACTAACTACAAAGAAGCCCAGTCCCGCAAGCGAATCAGGAAAAAACAAGCAAATGATAGCAGTGCAACAGAAACAGCATTGAATCCTAGAGACAAATTTCGCATATCTACTTACTTCACTATAATTGATACACTTGAAGCTCATATGAAGAGGAGAGGTGAAGTGTACAAAGAAGTATCAAGTAGATTTTCTTTTCTAAACGATATGGACTTATCTGACGAACAATATTCACAAGGTTCCCAAAAGCTGGTTGACTCATACCCTGTTGACTTGAACATGAATCTCTGTGGAGAAGTACGGCAGTTCCACTGTTATATGCGCGCAAAGTTTAATCAAACAGGAAAAATGAAATTCAGTCACATTGATCTTCATGACACAATACTGAAAGACGGAATACAATGTGTATTTCCAAATGTAGAGATCGCACTACGTATTTTTCTAACATTGATGATTACTAACTGCTCTGCAGAACGCTCTTTTTCTCAGCTGAAAAGAATAAACCCTCAGAGAACAACAATGTGTCAGGACAGACTTGATTCACTTTCCCTATTGTGTATGGAAGTGGACATGCTTCGTCGAGTCAGCTTCGATGAACTTATCCAAAATTTTGCAATCAGAAAATCTAGAAAGAAGCTATTTTAATTTCAGCATACATGTAAGTTTTGTGTCATTTCGAAAAATAAAATTTTATTTTACGGTATAGTATTGTTTTTATTTTGAATTACATATGGGGGGCACCATAATCTTTTCAGTGCTTAGGGCCTCTAAAGGTCTTAATCCGGTCCTGACACCCATTCATTAAACAACAGACGACCATGGTCAAAAATATCCCCTTCCTTCCCGCCCCTCCCCCCACCAAAAATGTCAATTTTTCATCAGCAATTCAAAAGCAAAAATATTTCTATTTGGAAATGCCACTGCAGCACCTCATGGAAGACAGAGTGACTCCTGCTCCCATTCTCATCTATAGACTGGGATCCCTGATTGAACTCCATTGCCCATGATGCATCACAGTCTTCCCTTCTAGAAGGGAAAATGGAGACTCATGAGAGTCCCCAGCCAGTATTTGCTTTCCTCCAGTCTTCTTGTGTAGTAGCTGATTTTAAATAAGAGACTGCATACTTTTGTTAGAAGCTCCATTACTTCATTCTTACATTCCTTCAGAACTCTTGTGTGTCACCATACAGTTCTGGAGACTTGTTGCTATTTGTCAGTTTCTTCCAACAAACTCCCCTTTGACAGTTCCTCATCTTTGTTACCTAAAGAGTACCTCCCCAAAGTCCCTATAGTAAAAAATAAAGCTAACAAATAATTTAATTTTTCTGCAATGTCCTTGCTATCTTCAATATTCCTTTAACTCCCAGATGATCCAGCAGACCCACCAATTCTCTTACAGATTTCCTCCTTTTGATATATAAAGAATTTCTTATTAGTTTTTATGTCTTTGGCTATTAGCTCATCAAATTGCCTATTCGTTCTCCTTATTTTCATCTTATATTTGACCAGCCATAGTTTGAGTTTACACTCTTTTCTATGGGATTTGCTAGGATTAGAGATCCATTTTGTGAAGGATACCCATAAGACTTGAATAACCTCTTGCATGCATTCGATGAAGTGGGTTTTAGCCCACGAAAGCTTATGCCCAAATAAATTTGTTAGTCTCTAAGGTGCCACAAGTACTCCTCATTCTTTTTGCTGATACAGACTAACATAGCTACCACTCTGAAACCTCTTGAACTTTGCCATTTTATCATACTGATTTTTTTTTCTTGTCTTCCTTTCTTGTGTAGGAGTTGCAGGCCTTCTTTGCTTCTGATATGTGCTAAAGTAACCTCCATGCCGAGCCTAAGAATATTAATTTCCTTACCTATGGCCTTTTTAACTAGCTTCCAGGTGTGGTATTTTGTTTGTTTGTTTGTTTTTTGGGTTTTGGGTTTTTTTTTGAGAGAGAGAGACAGACAGATAGATAGACACAGACAGACAGACAGACAATTTGGCACCTAAAAACTCAACTATAATTAATTGATATGGGTTCACTGTTATTCAGACTGTCTCGGAAATCATTAAACATCCAATTACATGTTTTTCATTATGTTGTGCATGCTACGTTGTTCAATAGTTAACTCTGAGAACTTGACTTAGGGTATGGCTACATAGGAAACTTCAAAGCGCTGTCACGGGAACGCTCCCGCGGCAGCGCTTTGAAGTGCGAGTGTGGTCGCGCGCGAGCGCTGGGAGAGAGTGCTCTCAGTGCTCCTGGTAATCCACTTCCATGAGCACTCCCAGCACTCGGAGCCTGTTTACGCTAGCGCTTTAAAGCACTCAGACTTGCTGCGCTCAGGGGAGTGATTTTTCACACCCCTGAGCCAGCAAGTTAGAGCGCTATAAAATGTAAGTGTAGACAAGCCCTTAGGTATAAGTCCCAGGCCTATTGCCCATGCCACAACCATCCAGAATATTTTATCAGAGCGCACTGATTCCAAATAATCAAGAATGTTAGCAGCATCTATTATAATGCAAATAAAATATGCTCTTGAAAACATGCAGATTTTTTTCATTTAGCTAATGACACTGCTACCACAGCTTCCCACCAGCTCACATACAACTAAAGGATGAAAGCATCAGTACATTGTTTCTCAGTGGTTAGCATCTTTCTAGTGAGCAATAAAGAAAAAGTAAGCATCCCTTCAATTTTGTTTTGTGTGTATGGAGAAGCTTGGGGGGAAATATATGGCACATCAGTAATGTTGCTTCTGCTCCACTGGCAAAGTGTGAACTCAAGAAGCAGCTATAACTATAGTTAATGCAAAAATCAGTCTTCCTGATAAAATGAAAAGGCTGGGGTCACTGATAACAGCTACACTGAAATTCTACCCAACATTTGCAAATCATTTTGCATTATCCTTATTTTTCAGCTTCTTTAGAGGTTGTCAGCCATAAATGAGCCACTGCTGGGCTCCTGTAGGAAAAGTTTTCAGAAACTTATAGGAGATATACAATCAAAGAGAGCATAAGCAGTTCAGTTTCTCTATTTTCTTACTAGACTGTGGTTAGCTTTGCCAAAATTAAGAGTCACGCACAGTGCCACACACTTCTACTTTAGAGTGAGAAAGCTCTGTCAGTTTGTGTTGATAAAGCCTCCTTCCTTGAATATGGGAATGATATTACTTCAGGTCTTTTAGTATGCCAGCTAAGATCAGAAACATACCACCTGTTCTGTTATTCCACAATGCCAATGTGTTTCAGGAAATCAGAAACAATCGTAGTCAAAACTGAACTTTAAAAGAGGACATTATATAAAGTACTTAAATAAGTTCAGTTTTAACTAGTATCGCTTCTGTTAACTCGGGTCTCTTTGTAAGGCAACAAATTACGTTACTGGTCAAGGAAACCTGAGTTATCCAGTTAAGAATGGGATTTTCACTCATGTTTCTCAGATTTGCAGTCATAAGAGAGGTGACACTGTTGGTCTTGTGTACACACATTTGTAGGACCATCTGTAACTGTGTGGAAGACACATCACTTCACTGATGGACAGCACAAGGTGAATATAGGTATTATGCATCTTTAAAATGGAAGCCCAACAGTAAGGAGGTGAAGGTAAAGTACAAGATGAAATGTTCACAGTAGTTCTATTTCTTAACAATCATTGTCTGTGTACACAAAACATCGTAAAGAGGTGGATCTGAGTCAATCTCCTGCAGTGTGGTTTGGCGTTTATTTTAAAATACTGGGTAACTTTTAGCTGTTACAACTGAAAGTCTGTGCACTGTGAACACAAAGCTGATTGATGTGGGCCAAGTTCATGCAAACTGTTACCATCAGGGGCTAGACTTTTCTATCAGATTTTATTCTACAACAGAGAAGAGCTGACATGCACCTGACAGCCCTTAAAGGTTCATGTATATTTATTGTAGGGATGTAAATACCGGTTAAAAAGTTAACCGTTTAAACGATTAAAAATATGTCATTTAAATGGTTAACACTCTAGCTGGCGCAGGGCCACTCGGGTCGGCACAAGGCCGCCTGGGCTGGCTGGCCGCCCAGCCCAGCCAGCCGCCCAGTCCAGGGTTAACAGTTAAGGTGGGTTAACCAGTAAGCCTATTGCTTACCAGTTAACCTTTTACATCCCTAATTTATTGACAGCCAAAAATTTTGTCTTCAGCTGCATTTCTACCTCCACATTTGCCCTCCCCTTCTGATTAAGTGTTAAAAAAAACTAAGACATTAACAAACAAGAACTTAGTTGTGAAGTAATTAGTAACAACATACTGGATACAAACCAACAAAAGCAAGAAAATGAAAAATTAAGCACATGCTCTCCAGTTCTCCATCCACAGGCACACCACCTTACCATTACCACAACTACCATACACCACAGGCTATGCACTGCAATCTTAATTCTGCCTTCCTAGGAATGTCAACCTTTCATGATCTCCTTTAGTCACCAGTCTACATTCAACGTTTTACTACACTAACCCATTCCAATGTAAGCAACTACTATGCCAATTGTCCGCATTACTAGCGTTGGGTGAAAATAATAAAAACATAAGAACTGCCATACTGGGTCAGACCAAGGGTCCATCTAGCCCAGTATGCTGTTTTCTGACAGTGGCCAATGTCAGGTGCCCCAGAGGGAATGAACAGAACAAGTGATCCATCCCCTGTCGCCCATTCCCAGCTTCTGCCAAACAGAGGCTAGGGACACCATCCCTGCCCATCCTCGCTAATAGCCATTGATGGACCTATCCTCTGTGAATTTATCTAGTTCTTTTTTGAACCCTGGTATAGTCTTGGCCTTCACAACATCCTCTGGCAAGGAGTTCCACAGGTTGACTGTGCGTTGTGTGAAAAAATCCTTCTTTTTGTTTTAAACCTGCTGCCTATTAATTTCATTTGGTGGCCCCTAGTTCTTGTGTAATGAGGAGGAGTAAATAACACTTCCTTATTTACTTTCTCCACACCAGTCATGATTTTAATCTGATAACAGGGTTTATGTGGAAGGGTGAAAGGGGGCAAAGTTAAGTTTGCAGCAAATGGTCTGCGGCCACAGAGGCTCCTCCTGCCTTTAGGCTGGAGCATCATCTGCAGAGAGCCAAAGGTAATATTCCCCCCACAAACCTTTCTTCCCTCCTCAGCCACAGCTCCACAAACGAGTTATTTACACCAGGCTCTTTGGAGAGGATTGCTTCAATTTGCATAAATTCATCTTAATTAAGACATATACAGTTGGTGCTAAAGGGTTATTAAATTCTTCACTACACACGTATGACAATCTGAGCACTGGCTGTTTTTATACAACAGTTTCCAAATAAAGATTAAACTAAGAAGAAATAACTATCAACTAAAGTTGCAATGCAAGGAGCATTGTTTTAATTAAGTACAGTGCACTTTCAGTGTTTAGAACTATATTCTAAACACTGAAAGTGCACTGTACTTAATTAAAACAATTAAGAGAAATGAGACAACTATCTCTAGACAGATTTCAAGTACAGAAATCTCTGTTTCTTTAGTTCCTTTAGACAGTAGTTAGTCCTGAGGGCATTCTGTGCCAAAAATACTAAAAATTATGCATCAAAAAATTAAAAATTCTGTGCACAATATTTTAAAATTCTGCAAAATTCTGCCAAATATTATTTGTCAAATAAATGTGGAGGCTCCAGCATGGTATTGGGGAGCACAGGCCACTGGCTGCACAGAGGTGGGAGATCACTGTGCAGCTCCCCCCGGGACATGGACTCAACAGTGAGGCTGCAACCCTGACACAGTGTAAGAACCGGGCCTGCCCCAGAAACACCCATGGCCCTGCCTCTCTGTACCAGGTGCACCAGGTGTGGGCAGGCAGGCTCAGCAAGGCAGGATCCAAGTGTGGAGGGGCTTAGTGTGGGGGGATCCAGGTGTGTGCTGAGAGGGTTCTGTGTGGGGAAATCTGGGTGTGGGCAGCTCAGTGTGGGATCCGGGTGTCGGGGGAGGGATCTGGATGCACAGGGGCTTGTTGGGGGGTCTAGGTGCAATGGTAATGGGAATCTGCAGGAGGGTCCAGGTGAAAGTGGTTGGGGCTCAGCGGGTGGGTCTGGGTGTGGGGGGATTAGTGGGGGGTCCAGATGCTGGGGGAGTGGGGCTCAGTGGGGTGGGGAGCCACGTGTGGGTGGCTTGTGAGGGAGGTCCAGGTGCAGAGGGAGTTGGGCTCATCGGGGCGTTCTGAGTGTGAGAGGATGAGGCTCGGCAGGAAGGTCTGGGTATGAGGGAGTCATAGGGGGAGGAAGGGGTTTCAATATTACAGCGTGAGCTGCTTTATACCACTTTTGTTTCTGGGGATTTTATTAAATTGAGTTAAACTACGGACAACTCATATTTATCAAGCCAGGCATGTCTATAAAAGGTTAACAGTTTAAAAATATATATATTGGACTGGCCTGCTGGGGTTATTTTTGCAGGCAGTATCTAAGTATCTATTTGTCCTCTTTCTATTTTGCTGGGTATGTAATTTGTGTGATTTTTTTCCATAACAACCTGTCATTTTTTTTAACCATTCCTCTAATTTTGGACAATTTTTCTTTTACCAGTGAGAGCCTATCCGTAGTCTAGTAACTACTAGCAGATGAGAGTTTAATTCTTCATATCTTTGAGCGTGACCATTTCCTCTAAGAAGTCCCAAGAGGATTACCAAAGGATCCTGTGGTAATAAATACCCAACAGTTTGCAATATTTGGTTATGAATACATCCCAGTACTGTTTAATGACTGGACATGTCCATCATATATGTATATCAAGTCTCCTCTTTCACCACAATTTCTCCAACATTATTCCCCATTTAATCTATACA